CGTCAGCAGCATGCCATGACTCACGACAGCCCAGAGGAACCAGGCGCTTGGAAGACTCGACGCTAGCCACACTGCCCAAGCCGTTGTCAATCACTTCTAGGTCAATGTTCGGACCATTTACAGGCTTCAGCGACGCTTTTGGGCCACCAACACCACCGATGATCGCCCCCGAAGTGGTAGACCAAGGGTTACCACAAGGCGACAAGACCGCCATGTTGTGCGACAGCACGTGCAGAATCCCTTCACACAAATATCTGAGACAACACGTCAGACAGTGGTAACACACGAAGACCCATCAGTATCGATACAGTGCATCGACGTCTCACCAGAGAGAACATCCATTGCCGTAGACATTACCGTGGACCGATCCTCACCCCTCGCCATCGACGTGAACGTCTACAGTTTGCCCGACAACACCAGAACTGACGACACAGGCAATGGGGAACTGTTCTGTTCAAAGATGTGAGTCGGTATTGCGTATCAACTGCAGATGGCAGGACCAAAATATGCCGTCGACGTGGCCAGCGTTATTCTACCTATGTGTCACGGAACGAGACGCGTGGGGAGGTCCAAGCATAATGGTTTGGGGTGGAATCGGCCTGAACCATGCAGAGAGTAGGTCCTGTGGTGTTCCTAAATATTGGTCCAGGGAAAGGAGGCGGCATCACAGCAGTGCGCTACATCGATCAAGCTCTCGGATCCCACGTCATATCACATTTCGCATGCCATCGTAACAACATTTTCCAGCAAGACACCTCCCGTGCCCACACCGCCAGAGTTACTCGGGACTTTCTACAACGTTATGCACTGGCCAGCCCTTAGTCCGGACTTAAACCCGATTGAACATCTTTGGGATGAAATTCAGAGGAGACGTAATAACCTCGTACCGAGAGCAAACACAGCCGATGGATTGCGCCAGGCTTTTCTGAGAGTATGGTTCCAGGTGCCAATGGCGTTCATCAATCGTCTGGTCCACTTCATGTACAGACGCTGTGCTGCTGTTATTGACACTCGCGGAGGGCACACCAGATACTAATGTATAGACTGTGTACAGAATCTAAACCTTCTCGTAATGTCTTGGAATTATGATGAATTAATCACTACTGTGTCAACATACTATTCACAAAAAATTGCTTTGATCCATTTAGTAATTCGTTTTCTAGAATGATTTAATTAAAATGCCTCTCTGATTTTGAAATCGTACTGACGTTTTGGGGTTTTTTTTGCCGTTTAGTATATAATATAATGATAATATTAATAAAATGTACATTTATACCGCGCACAGTTCCCAGCATGCATGCCCAGGGCGCTACGAAGTCTAGGTGTAATATTATGTCGAAAAATTAGTTTTTAATTAGATTTTGACAGTTGTAGACTGGTCGCTAGTTGAATGCCCAAGGGGAAGTCCAGTGAAAAAGCACAGTGTGAACAAACATGTGCATCCCAGGGGCTAAGTGAGAGGGACGCAATGACGCGCTTTGCTTCACGGGTTTGAGTTTTTGCGCCCGCTTTTGTTTTTGCGCCCCATCGCAAACTGGCCCGTAACTAAAAAATTGTCGACCATAAAAAATAGATTTACATTATCCGTCAATTTTACAGCATCCCTGAGAAAACTACCCCCACCCCACCCCGGTTGCTCTGAGCTAGTTACGGCCCTGCTCGCAAAAAAATCACGCGGTTTCAATGCGGTTTTCAACATTATAATCATAATCATAACGCTTAACCAGTGTCAAACATATAGCGTGTACCGTGGGTCAGATGTGCTACAAAACAACTCGAGCATGTACCACACAGCCCAATATTACTCGGCGGCACTGGGAGTGACCCTCCCCCTTCCCCGCACACACATATAAATATTATTGTTTGTGGGGCCGGGCGGGATCTCTTTCCTCATGGAAAATCATGGGTCACATGCTCCTGATGTATCCAAATAATTTGAGTTTATATTTTGGAACTAGAAGATGGTATTCTTGAAGAGAACGGATTACATATACACATTTAGGAGAATATGGTGATAAAAGATCTGCTAGGCAAGGAGGTTCTGTACCATTTAATTCTTGATTCAATGGTTATATAAGTCAATGTTGTATGTACCACTAGAGCTCCTGATGAGTCGATCTGCAGTATTTTGAACATTCGGGAGTTTTGAAGGTTTCGGTTTATGCCAGATAAAAGGCTATTGCAATAGTCTAGTCTTGACAGAACGAGAGACCAGACAAGATTATGAGCTGCGTCTTTATATAATGAGGTGACGGGAATTTCTTATAGACTGAAGGTGGAAGAAGTCGGTTTTACAGATTTGATACTCCATAGACAGTTCCGGGTCGAGATTTTTAACTTTGTTGACTGGTTTAATTTCAGAGTCGGCTAATTTCAAAGTTGATATATCAGATTTGGATAGTAAATGCTTTATTCCATTCATGATTGCTTCAGTTTTGCCATCATTTAGTTTCAACATATTTGTGGACATCCAGGACTTAATCTGGTTGCATTTTGATGTACGTTGAAGAGCTTGGCCAAAGTCAGATGGATAAAAACTGTCGATAATTTGAGTGTCGTCTGTATGAGAATGATATAGTATTCTCTGTTGGCTTATAACATGTGATATACTAGTTGTGTAGTGAATAAACAGAACGGGTCCTAGTATCGAGCCTTGGGGGAACTCCCCACTGTAGTTCAGCTGTATCTCCGATGACAATTAATTGATTTCGGTTATTTAGGTATGAGGCGAGATATTTTAAACAAGGGCCTTGAATACCATGAGACTATTAAAAAAAATGGCCATGGCTAATGGTTTTAAATGCCACGGATAAATTCTGTAACACCAGAGGCCACCTTTCCGCAATCGACAACCCATCCATCGTAAGTCACTAACCACCCCAAGTAATGCTGTAAACTTTCAGCGCCGATAGTAGTGGTATTGTCTAAGGTGACATTAGAAATGTGTAATTCAGTTCAAATCATTTCGAAATTGTAAACGAATAATTTGTTAAACGGGTTAGCAATGTCTTGAGCATTTTCAATTCCTGGTAACTTACTGTTGCATTTCTTACAAATCAATGAGTGTATAAATCCATGAAGTTTCTAGGATCGTTTCTGCATTCTTCATGTTTCAGCAAGCAATAATCACGTTTTGCTTGATTCTTTTATTCCTGGCATCGCAAAATATCTAACGATGAACTGTCTCACTGGACATCGACAAAATACCACGGAGCATTTAATCTAACAGTTACAGCAGATTTTTAGGTGTAGGAGCATGCCGCTTAGAGCCGGATTAAAGGGCGAGGGTTGACTGGCCTGCAGTTAGGGGCCCCCAAATTAATTCTGTTATGTCGTATATTATTATGTATGTGTCAAATAAATCTATAAATTTACCATACTGACATACAAATTACATTTGTTTGAGCGTGACGGACAATGACCAGAGTATCCCCCTTTTTTCTTTGTTGTTACGGCGGCCCCATGCAAGCTTAACCCGCCCCTGCGTGCCGTTTAAGAAGATAAGAAAGGGTATCATTATTTAACTGCGTAAGATCGTTTACCCAGGAGATCTGCTCAAAACCCAATTTAGATATAATTCAAATCTGAACGAAATAACTCGACATCAATCCCCATCAATTTTCTACAAAAGCTATGTCTGGTAATTTTTTATCTGTAACAAATATGTCATTAATTAGAGTGAAATCTTCGTGTCTTTCAACCCCGTCAAGAATATTATCAGATTTATGTGTAGATCTCAATGGCAGCATTGGTATCAGTCGAATGATATCTCACACGATCAACATACATTTCGTTTGATGACGGGCCAATAATAATGTGTGATTGTCGGGATTTAAAGATATTATAGTTAGATGGGTACATAGAATGGTTCAAACGACCGACATTTAGTTCTGGATTATATCCGAACACCAGGATCATATTGAATTGAGGTTGATGATGGTCTAGCGAGATTCACACTATGTTTAATGAAGAACGGACTATATTCTGATCAAAACGATTCCGAGGTATTCATATGATCTGGTGATTGATGTGGGTGGGAAATGGGTTTAAAGAATAATTAAATTAGTAGAGGTCCACAATGGAAAGTGACAAAGTATAAATGTATGTAGACTTTACATCGGCACCAATCTCCCAAACAGAGTTGTCTTCCCTTGTAAGTTCATCAGGATTTCCCCTTGTCAGTGGTTCAGGACGGAGGGCTAGCAAGGGACAACAAATATTTTATTCTGGTATTTCTGAACAGGGATGGAGGACAAATACTAGTCTTATGTTTCAATTCCCCGCTTGTACGTGACAAGGAGTGTGATGCCTGTCTAATCTTGTGGGGTTTTTTTTTTGGGATCCTCGATTTACTACCACAGCTAAAGATTCTTACAGCATGTGAATTATTTAAATAAAAAAAATTGAACCATGTTAGTCCCAAATTACCTAGTTTGTGTCGAGTGAACATTAACCCCGAAATTGATACCCTAGACTTTTTATTGTTCTTGCAGACCATACAAAAAACCCCCCAAAGAAATTATCTTCACTGTATAAATATATTCATTTATTCAAACTGTTTTATAACACATGAGAAATCACAACTTAACAATTTTAATTTTTAAATAATAAAATAGAATATATGGTGAATAGATATCATGCTTATATTAATACATGCTTTGTAACCATGGTAACCATGTCTTATGTAACAATGACTGGTGTAATCCAATCTGACTAAAACACAGATCCTGTTTCGTTTCGTTTTTTTATAGTTCATAACACTATGATCTGGAAAACTTGTTATACCACCCGCATTCTGGTTGATTTGAGGGATTAGCCCATAAAACGGTCTGTTACGTCAAGTTTGTGGCGTGTGATGCACGGAACACCGATTGATTAATCAATGTCTGACATCATAAGGTCAAAAGTCGCTCATATGACCCCCGATACGACCTTCAACTACAACTGGTCAGATTTTCATGTAGTGTAGGCCATCGAAAGTATAAAAAAACGAAACGAAATATAGATCTGTATTTTAATCAGATTGGGAGAAATCATGGCTTATGTAACAATATTCGGAACAATCCTGACTAGTGTAACAACTAGTGTAACCATAGCTACAGCTAACATGATTACTTTAATATTGACTGAAGCAATCACAACCACGATGTTTTAATATAGAAATTATACTCTTCTCACATATGAAGAAATTCATGAACATTTCAAGGCAGTGGTTCAATTTGAGGCTTATTCAAGTTGGAAGCTAAAATTTGGGTACTTATCAAGGATGCACAAACCCAGTAAATCAAAGTGTCAGGGCAAAATGATTAGTATTTTCAATTCAATTAAGGCTTATTCAAGTTGGAAGCTAAAATTCAGGTACTTTTCAAGGATGCAAAAACCCAGTAAATCAAAGTGTCAGGGCAAAATGATTAGTATTTTCATTGTTTAGGTTTAATAATAAAAAAAGACCCCCCCCCCTTCATGATATTGTAATATTGAAGAAAAAAGGCTCAGTCATGCTATAAATATAAATAAACATACATTAAGAGTGGGAAATACTGGTACCTACAATGTTTTCATTATCAAGGATTTGACAGAACAGTAGGACGTTAAAACCCCTTTCATTTACTTCTGTGGTTATTTCGTGTTTGACATGTTTTATGAATGATGACTGATTGGAATAATATAAAATCACAACAGAATATAATTGATGAGTCAACACAATAGCAATAATATGAATATTAGTAATGCCATGTGTATTGAATACAAATAATGCCATATGTATTAACTACAAATAATGGCATAATGCATACATAATATACATTTCAAATAATGCCTTGTGAATTAAATACAAACAATACTATTGTGTATCAAATAAGGCCATTAGGTATCAATACAAACAATGCCATTATGTATTAAATGCAAAAAATGTCATTACGTATTAAATGTAAAAAAAAGTCATTACGTATCAAATACAAAAAATTGTCATTATGTATTAAATACAGACAATGTCATTATTTATTAATACAAATATGCGATTATGTATCAATACAATGCCATTATGTATTAAATACAAACAATGCCATTTTGTATTAAGTAATACCATGTGTATATTAATACAAATAATGCCATTATGTATCAAATACAAACAATGTCATTATGTATTAAATATAAACAATGCCATTCAAACAATGTCATTATGTATTAAATATAAACAATGCCATTATGTATTAAATACAAACAATACCATTATGTATTAAATACAAATGCAGCTGATATTGTTAAAGAAATGTTGTATATTGTAGTATTCAGAATATAATACAAGGGATATGACTGACAAGTCATCTGTTTGAGATTCCCTATACAATTGAGACATGTTACTGAGAAAATTGAGGCTTTTACCAAATTAAAGATGCATTATATAAGAGCTAAATCTGCTTATTGCAGTTCCTTATTTTGGCTTCAAATATTATATAAATTATTATGTAGACATCTAAAATTAACATGACAAGTTTATAATCAACTCTCTAGACCATCGGATGGTGGAGATTTAAATGGATTAAAACATAATCGCAATTTAATTTAAATAAACAATCTATGCCAAATCTTGTCAAAACTTCAAACTGTGATAACATCGCTCAGAATAAAATAATTTGAATAAAATTTTCAATATATTCATTTTGCATTATCTATTTTTGAACTAATACAGCAAGAACAACCACGCCCCGAGTTCACAAAGCATTTTAACTAAAATATAGCCCTTTATAATGCTTTTGTTGTTTTAATGTATCAAATACATCAATAAGAAACTATGTGCAAAGTTTTGTATTTCTGAATCAAATACATTTCTTATAAATGGTGATTGAAAAAGTTGAGTAAAGTCTGAGAAGGCTTCGTCAACTCGGGGCCTGCTCTTTATCTAATTCTTACATAATGCGTCTTTAAAACAAATTACCGACATGACATCTCGGTGAGATCGACTACTTAGGTAAGGTTTTCGTTGTTCACCCGAGTCACTCGAGTCGACACCAGACCGTTCGCGTTTTGAATCGAGTTGGTCACATGACTGACTCGAGTCGCATCACGTGACTAACCTGTTTACTCCCCGTTGAGCGGAGAGTAAAAGGGTTTGTCACGTGACAAAATGGCGTCCTATACGCAAAAAAGCCTGTCTCTCGATTACATACTGACGTCGTAGCTGTTTTGATGTCATGTGACTACTCAGACCGTTCGGGATGTTTCACCCTGGTAAACTCGGCAATGGAGTCGACTCGAGTGACGCGAGTAAACGACGAAAACCTTACCAAAGAAACTATTGTCTAAGTGGCATTTGTTAACTGGATGAGAATAACACATTACACAATTCTTTGCTTGATAAAGACGGGAGAACCCTCGTAGAAACGTCGCTGAAATAGAGTCTTCAAGTAACTTGTATTCCATATAATTGTGTCATGTGTTACTTAGAAACTTGTGATATTTCACAGAGATTGAAATTTAAAGATTTTTCACATGGATGTATCCTACAAAATATGATATGCCACCTGGATATTTGAGATATCTCACCTAGGCTTTTGAGATATGTTACCTAGAAACTTGTGATATTTCACAGAGATCAAAATTTAAAGGTTTTTCACATGGATGTATCTTACAAATCTGATATGCCACCTGGATATTTGAGATATTTCACCTACGCTTTTGATATGCCACCTAGAAACTAGTGATATTTCACCCAGAGCTTGAAATTTTAAGATTTTATATTTCACTTAGGTTTTTGAGATAATTCACTTAGGTTTTTGAGATAATTCTCCTAGGCTTTTGAGATAATTTGCCTAGGCCTTTGAGATATGTCACCTAGAAATATGAGATATGCCACCTCAAAATACATATATACACACCATTAATTATAATTTTATATATACACTGGTATATAAGTAATAAAATATTAAAATTCATTCATTTATTTGAAATGGGAGCTATTAACTTTACAGAATAATTTCAAGGGTCATTTCATTTGTTCTACAGTGTAAACAATAATTTCAAGGGTCATTCCATTTGTCGTACAGTGTAAACAATAATTTCAAGGTTCATTCCATTTGTTCTACAGTGTAAACAATAAGTTATGATAACTAAAGAAAAGACCAATATGAAAATAAAACCTCTTGGATGCTGTTTGTGGGGAAATAAACATAAATTAAGATTTTATAAAGTAGAAAATAACAGATCTTTAAACAAATATAATAATAATCTCACAACAATGTTTGAAGCACTTTAACAACTTCTCAAAAATATATAAATAAATATAATTCACACATATTTTATCTCTCAACAAAACTTCAATTTTTTAAAAATCTTTTGCATTTTGCAGTAAGTTTTTTTTTTATGGTTACTGATATCAAGTTACAATTAACTTCTAGGTCATCTGTCGTTACCCCAATAATTTATTTTTACCTGACAATATGGTTCTTTTCTAATTCGATTTGTTTCTAAACTATATATATATCAATTTGATCATCTCTGGTAATTCCAATGCCTCTTTTTTTTTTTTTTTACATGACAATACGCTTTTTTTCCAAATTTGTATCATTTTTAAAATATATATATGTATATTAATTGGGTCATCTCTGGCAAACCCAATGCCTTATTTTTACACGACAATATGGTTCTTTTCGAACTCTTAAATATATATAAATATTATCATTAAATCATCTATGGGGATCCCAATACTTTATATTCATTTGGCAATATGGTTCTTTACTATAAATCTAATATACAACTCAGCAAAAAAAAATCAGGGAAAATTGTTCTAAGGAATTTATAATAATTGAATTTTGGCTATTGTATACGGATATGTTTTGGATTATTTCAAATTTGGGTAATTTCCATGACTCCGCAATTTAAATTTTCATAAAAATGTAATTTTGGATTTTTCGGAGTGGCTTTGTATTGGTTATTTGATAAATTATTAACATTAGCACAGAATTCAATAGTCTTTAGCACACTTTAGCTTGTCATCCTAATATGAACAAAGGGGCACAACTCCAAATAACATTTATTCAGATATATAGAATCAATGAAGATTCTTAATTGGCCTGCATTAAGTGGTACAGTCCAACAGATTATTGGTAATAAGAACATGAGCGGTTGGTGAAAAATAACTGTCTTATTAAACTAAAGGCACAACACATTCACTTCAAGGAAGAATAACTCCTAGCTATGATTTCAGGCTTATTTACATAATAGTATTAATACTATTTTAAAGCACAGATATAGCAATTTGTATATTTACAAAGTGGAGAGAGTAGTATCCTTCAAGTGGTTGCTGCGATGAGGTTGCTGGAATTATGACGCTGCTCACATGTTTTTCAAATAATAAAAGACACAGCTCTAAAGAGTTGAGGGAGACAACTCTAAGGCACTACAAGATAGGTTTTGAATGCTTACAAAGATCTTTCTGTCATCACACATTCAAGTTAAAACAAGTTGGGATAAAACCCACGCCTCGGGCAATTCCAATTAATTGTGCAGATCTTAGAGTAAAGGTCATAAAAAGCTTCAAATAATACAAGGGCAGACAACTCTCAGACCTCTAGAATTTCGGGTTGTTCGTCTATGCATAATGGCATGTTTAATGAGGCTGTCGGATTTACAATACTGTCTTCAAGATCGTCATGTATTTCTTCAAATCTAGAAAACAAATAATAGGGAGAATAAAACCCAAAAGTAAGGGAAATTTTAAATTAGATCTAGTTGAAAATTAGGTAACAGACGAACAACTATGCAACACTTTCTTTCTCAGCCAATGTCAGGCAATGCTAGTTTTACAACTGACAAATGGGATTATCTGCCCTTGCTGGTTTTAACCCTGCTGGTTATATCACTGACAATTGGGAATGTATCACTGACAAATGGGAATATCAGCCTCTGCTAGTTCTACCACTGACAAATGTGATTGTCAGTCACTACTAGTTCTACCACTGACAAATGGGTTTCTCAACCAGTGTTGGTTTTACCACTGTCATGTGGAAACGTCAGCTGAGGCTGTTTTTTTCTCTTCTGACAAATGGGAATATCAGCCCCTTGCTGGTTTTATCACTAAGAAAGTGGGATTGTCAGCCACTGCTGGTTTTACCACAATTAAATGGGAATGTACACTGCCAAGTGGGAATGTCAGCCACTGCTGATTTTACCACTGTCAAATGGGAATTTACCACTACCAAGTAGGAATGTCAGTCACTTCTGATTTTACCACTGTCAAATGGGAATTTACCACTGCCAAGTAGGAATGTCAGTCACTGCTGGTTTTACCACTGTCAAATGGGAATTTATCACTACCAAGTAGGAATGTCAGCCACTTCTGGTTTTAACACTGTCAAATGGGAATTTACCATTACCAAGTGGGAATGTCAGCCACTTCTGATTTTACCACTGTTAAGTGGGAATGTCAGTCACTGCTGGCTTTAACACTGACAAATGGGAATATAGGCCAATCCTGGTTTTACCACTGAAAAATGTCGACAAATATTGAAAAATCTATGATTCCTATATTTTTTAGAACATACCTGTCATAAGTGGCTTTATTTTCTAGTTGTTTTATTCTTTCCTCTCTTCTAGTTTTAAAAGTTTTAAACATATAAAATATACCACAAATAGCTACCATTATACCTGTAAATAACAAAATATAATAAAACAGGTGTAGGATTACACCAATCTGATTAAAATCCGGGGTCCGGTTTCACGTAATTTTAACTAAAGATAAAATCCAAATTTTAGTAGATACTTCAATTTTGATTGGCTAAGCGCTAAAATCAATCTAATATTATCCAATCAAATTACTAAAATTTAGATTTTATCTTAGTTAAAATTTAGTGAAACAGGCCCCAGACCTATATTTCGTTTTATTTTTATACTTTCGATAGCCTCTACTACATGAAGATCTGACCAGTTGTAGTGGGAGGTCACATCAGGGGTCATACGAGCGGCTGTTGATCCTATGACGTCAGACAATTGACTTACTAAGTCCACTTGACACAAATCAGGTCATTTTGGGACTAACCTATGGTTCAATATTATTTCAATAATTTGCTTGTGCATTGGGGTTTTTAGCAGTGAGAGTAAACTGGAGGACCCAAACAAAAACCCACGAGGTTGGACATGCGATCCTACCCCTTGTCACGAACAACCTGGGTTAGAAACCACACCAGCTGACTCAATGACAGAGCTTGTGATACAATGCGCTTGCTCTAATGATTCAGCCATCCTATTGCCCGGTCGAACAGTAGGATATATTTATATAATAAAAAAAACAAATGGGGTTTAATGTCCTACTGTTTTGCTTCGACCGGGCTAATGAAGACGTGCATACGCCATACAGTGTGTTATGAGGGAAATTTTGCCCGCACAGCGACACTACGGCCTACTCTTATGTCGAAATTCCAACGGTCAAGGGATATTTTACGTGCACGCCAATGTGTACACGGGACCTCGGTTTTTCGTCCCATCCGAACGACTCAACAGCTGTCCTTGTCCGACCCTCCGTCCTGCATCACTGACAAGGTGGAACCACGTCGGAAAATCTGGATGAACTTTCTCGGCCAATGCAGGGATCGAACACCTGACCTCCAGTCTAGCGAGCCAGCGTCTTACCCACTTAGCCACCAAGACCCCGCATTTATATAATAACAGCATATCCTGAATATAATGACTCACCTGATACTACTCCTAATAAAACATGACTAGCATCAACAAAACAAGGTACAGCTAATAAACAATAAAATATTCCTTTCTTCCAATCATCTAAAGAACATAATAACTCATACAACTTTAAACATTTAGAATCTTCTCTGAAAATAAACAAAACAACATCCATTAAAGATATCTAGAAAATATTTGGGTAATTTTTACAAAGAGAGAGAGAGAGATAAATGGTGTTTAAAGTCCATTCCACACCAACCAGGTCTTTTCAAGAATTCGCTTGCGAGTAGAGATCTTCAGCTGTGGGAGGAAACCAGCGGTCCCGGAGAAAACCCACAAGGTTCGACAGGCGACCCTACTCCTTGTCACGTATCACTGAGGAATCAAAACCACACCAGTTGACTCAATGACAGACCTTATGATACAGTGCGCACACGCTAACCATTCGGCCATACCCCCACCCAAAGTTTTACAATCTGCCAACCAATCAGACCACAAACTAGGGTCAGAGTATAGTACCGGTATAAGAAATAAATTGCTCCCAATATGAGTGCTGGCACGATATATTGTTGAATCGATGTATCGCGATTCACCTTCGCACGATTCGCATACTGGATCGCGCGACACTGAATCAATGTATCACGATGCTTTTCTCATGTTGGTTTTTTTTTGCTCCCAATATGAGTGCAGGCACGATGTATCGCGATTCTTTTTTCATGTTATTTTTTTTTTTTTTTTGTAGTTACAGTAAGTAACCTGTAACTTGTAATTATCCATGTCACACATTATCCAACTAAGTGCCAGTCATGTATTAATATCAATAAAAAAAGACAAATCAGTGCCGGACAAAATTACAGGCACCAAAGGTTTATTGCCTGACAAAGCCTGAATCTGTGCCTGATAATTTCTGTGACAGGTGCCTTATTTCCAGATTTGACTTCTGCACATTACACTGCGTGTGCAGACTTGTAAAAGGGACAGAGAGAAATGGGTTTAACGTCCACTCGACCTAAACCCTGTCATTTCTGGACTACAAGTAACCTATGGTTCAACTTTATTTAATAATTTGCTCTTTAGCAGTGTGAGGTAACAAGAGGACCTGGAGAAAACCATCAAGGTTGGACAGGCGACTCTACTCCTTGTCACATTTAAGCGGGGAACTAAAACCATGCAATTTGACTCAATGACAGACCTTGTGATTTCACACACACGGGTTAAACCACTAGACCATCCAATCCATCCCCAGTTTTTAAAAGGTTTGCTGAGTCAATCTGATGCAAGTCATATGCATGCCTAGAACACAAAATAAATAGAACTTACAAACAAAAATCTGTGCAAAATTCAAAAACAAACAATGATTCTAACACTGATATAATTGTTGCAGCTACTCTGAAAAATCAAAGAACATTATTTTTACGATCAATAAATTTTATATAAATTTAATATAATTTGTCAAAAGTTCACAGACTAAAATAAATTTTATATAAATTCACTCTGACCGATTCCAAAGAATTTGTAAAAAGTTCATGGACTAAAATAAATTTTATATAAATTCAATCTGACCGATTCCAAAGAATTTGTCAAAAGTTCACAGACTAAAATAAATTTTATATAAATTCAATCTGACCGATTCCAAAGAATTTGTCAAAAGTTCACAGACTAAAATAAATTTTATATAAATTTAATCTGACCGATTCCAAAGAATTTGTCAAAATTTCACAGACTGTTGATTGCAGAAATTAAGTATGGTACTAAAAATTGTATCAGAAATTATATAAGTTTCTACGATCATTAAATTTTATATAAATTTAATCTAAATCATTCCAAAGAATTTGACAAAAGTTCACAGACTATTTTTATTGCAGAAATTAAGTCCTAAAAATTGTATCAGAATACTATAATATGAGGTTCATAATTCAGAATAATGATTTTAAAAGACAGAAATAAATGATTAAATTGTTATACTTACAATAAATAAATGCCTAAAACATGTTTATAATACACAGCTTCTGCGCCACTTCCCCATAAACCTGTTGAATATACGTGTATACTATGTTTAGGAGCTGTTGAATATATGTGTATGTATACTATGTTTGGGGGCTGTTGAATATACGTGTATGTATGTTTTGGGGTAAAATGAAGTAAAATGATGAAACACAAATACACCTTTCGTCATCGTTTATGACAAAACCGATTTAATTCATTAGTTTCTGAAAGAGAGAGAGAAATGGGGTTTAACATTGGGGTCTTTAGCTGTGGAAGGAAACCGGAGAAAACCCACGAGGTTAGAGAGGTGACCCTACTCCTTGTCACGTACAACTATGGAATCAAAACCATGCCAGTTGACTCAATGACAGACCTTGTTAGTTCTTGAAGGACTGAATAAATTAATTGCCACTTGAGTCTTGTGAATGATGTTTTGATTAATATTTAAAAAGTAGGAACTAAAAGAATTAGAGAGCAAATAATCTGAAACAAATGATTATTGCTTTTTTGTGAGGAGGTATAGTAAACAAAGAAAAAAATCCACCTTGGGCAATTTTCTTATGGACGATTTAGTTTTGGTATCCATCCTCAATATGAATGATGCGTGTAAAATCGCCTTATTTAAGTTACTCTCAACTTTGTGCCACCTAAATGCATTATCAAATTGTAAGTAACCATAAACACGAAATCAAATGGGGTTTAATGTCTTACTGTTTTGCTCCGAACTGGGCTAACGAAGACGGGCATACGCCACACAGTGTGCTATGACCGAAATTTTGCCAGGACAGCGGCACTATGGCCTACTCTTATATCGAATTCCAACTGTCAAGGGATCTTTTATGTACATGTCAATGTGTACATGGGACCTAGGTTTTTCATAACCATCCGAACGACTAGACATCTGTCCTTGTCATACCCTCCGTCCTGCTTCACTGACAAGGGGGAAACATGCCAGAAAATCTAGACGAAATTTCCTGGCCAATGCAGGGATCAAACACCCGACCTCCAGGCTAGCGAAACAGTATCTTACCCACCGTGACTCCCAAAACCATAAAAACACTCAACACCATAATTTTTAATATTATTTACATTCACCATATTCATCTGACTTGGAAGAAGGAACTGCCATTGAACGGCATGCTGGCACAGATGTGTGATGGATCAGTCTTTGTTGACTTTGCGTTAGAGTTTCGGGACGGTATTGTTGAAACAAATGTGGCGTTGATTAGAAACTTAAGGTACCAGTTAAAAGAGAGAAATGGGGTTTAACGTCCACTCGACACAAACAAGGTCATTTCGGGACTAACATATTGTTCTATTTTATTTCAATAATTCGCTTGTGCGTAGGGGTCTTTAGCAGTGGGAGGAAACTGGAGGACCTGGAGAAAACCCACAAGGTTCGAGGTACCGGTTAAATGTTGGAAAGGTTTGTTGGAGACTCCATTAAAGAGGAGAGCAAGGTTATAAATATTAAGGGCACGGTTAGTGAGTGTCATGATGATGACTTTTGGGGTCTGAGACTGGTAATGATTTGTAATGGAGATACATGTAGTGTTTGGTTTAGTTTCCTGTAGCCTGAATTTGTGCTAGAGAATTTACTCAAATCCGACCATATTGATTTTATCGATGATCTAACAGCGGAAAACCATTGTGATGCACAAATATATTCACACCCTCAGTATGCCGAAAAATGTGAATAAGAGTGAGAAAAGTGGATTTTAGAAGATGGATTGGTACCAAAGGCACAATGTAACTTTTTTTTGCCCAATGCCAATTTAGGTGGATTTTTATCCTTGAGTTGTTATCAAATAGAACTTTCATAAAACAATAATCATTTGTTTTGGAATTTTTTCCACTGCTCATGTGAAGCTGTCGTTCAGCTCTTAACGTACACTTGCCCTGTACATTCAGGGACCTGTTTACCTAAATTTTGTTTCGTCTTATATGGCTGAGTTACGTAAATTTGAGCGTTACCCTACATGTAGATTCCAATGGCTTCTGCCAAGCTGTTTAGCAGAAGGGGACATATTTGTAACAACAGCATGTTGTGTCGGACATACTGACTCTAGCAAGGTCTTATTTTCTCACTAAAATGTTCCTTTACATTGTAGAGGTGGTCACAGTGACTGACACGCGACTGTTTGGCAGTAAAAAGTTGCTCAGTACAATTTACGGGGAACTGCAAAATTTTCGACAAGGATTCAAGGTAGGTTCCTGAACGCACAGGGCGAGTGTAATGTGACCTACGTTCAGAGTTGAACTAGTGAATCTGAAGTTCTCCGACATCACAATTCTTACATGTACATCTGGTTTTTTTGAGGAGTAGGAGAATCAAGTCTTTGTCACTTGATTGTGATTCTGTCACTTCGAAGCATTCTTGACTGACATTCATAGTACTACCCCTATCTCCCTGTAGTCAAAAAAGACCCAAGTCAGAAGTTCAAGTTGGCCTGCAACCACACGTGTTTGCAATTCTTATTCTTAGCCACTGACACTTTCTGTAAATGTGTAATTTTATAATAAATTACTATTTTTTAAGCCGTGCAGATGCAGGTCTCATATTAATAATTTGTGAAAATATCAATTCAAGGACAGTAGACTACCCCGTAATTAAAGTTGGGGTCAAGAGCAAAGAAACTAAGAAAGGTCGATAAGGACACCGACATGTTTGTTTAGGCTATCATTTGTTTCCAGTCGACAGAACAAAACCAGGTGAAAATGGCCATTCCTACGAAATTGTGTTAATCGATTGGATAATTGCCTACTCAATCCGCTCGGTGACATATAATCATATATAGATGAGCGGTAATAATCCAAGAGATTAAGATAAGCGTGCACGACAAACGTCAAGTACAACAATAACAAACATAAACCACGCTATGTTTTGGCTGTCTGCCAATTTTTTTTAACACAGAAGACATGGCGTGATCCATTCATCATTTTTTAATTTGTTTACATTCTGAAACTCACCCAGAGCGGTTAGCAGGCCCCAAATCCGACAGACCCATACCAAAAAGGTCCAACAACAGCCGTTTCCTCTGAAACCAAATCCCATGCCTTTCGCAAATAGGAGAATATTTACTGTTCTATGGCGCGAACCAGGAGCATTTCTATCAGCATGAACCAGTTGCAACAAATTGAACCGGAAATAGTAAATATTGACAAATAAAGCAATCTGATTGGATAGAAATTAGGCCATTGACCTTTGCCTCGAGATTTGACCCTTATTTACACGCATGCTGGTGCACTATACAGTTCGTGCGACAGGTGTTTTTATTGACTTTTACGAAACAAAATGAAATCACAAATCACTGGGCTGATATAAAATGCATTATATTTATTATTCAATCTGTGTAGGCCTACCATTAAGTCCCAAAAAGTTTTACATTTGCAATTTTGTATTAAAAAGAAAGGTGATAAAACTTATTTTTATTCAGTATATCTGATACAGCTTGGTTTGATAAATTTGAACACGTTGCTGAATTGATATTCCGAATTTCAAATTCAGAGATCTTTGAAAGTTTGGAATAAAAACCCTGGTAACTAAGCAATTTGTTTCACTTTTTCAATGCTACAAAGTAAGCTTCTTGCGCATGCGCAGGAGTAAAACTATTGCATTGTGGTGTAGATATAGGTCCACCATGTTGTTTGTATTGGTTTCCATTGATTGAGGTGTAATGAATGTTCAAAACAAACCAATTAACCTGGTAATTAGTTAATTAACGCGTTAGTTTGCTGTTCCCACTTATAATGGCACCAACAACAGGAATCATAATATGTCAGTCATGATTATGCAACGAATCATCTTTTAGGAGTGTGCTCTTTGGAAATAAATATTTATTTATCATTTTTGACAGACACCGATTCGAATCAAATTCAAGTTACTCTGTCGTACTCCAAAAACTATATGCTGGTCAGTCATTTCAAATAATATTACTAATAATATAATTTGCTAAAAACATCGATCTATCTGATGTGTCGTTTATAGCTACTGTGTGAACCATCGTAAATTTTAAACGGATTTCTTCGATTATGAACAAACTACTTAACTTTGGTTATTATAAACTTACCTGTGTGTTTGTAATGAACTCCCGTTCGATAAAATCAATTGCACAACTAATTATCACAACGATGAGAACAAGTTCTCTCTTGAAAAATTTGAAAATTTACTTGTAATTTCGACAGAGTCGATGTCAACAATGTCTTCGTGACGTATTGGTCGATTCCAATATACCTGTTGCGGGGGTTGGTTAACATTGAAAGATAGTTTGACAGCGCGATCATTTTGATCGTATATGGGTTTGGGCGACGAAAAATATCAATTGAAGGCAATTACATAGGAGATTTATATGGAAACCATTGATCGCCAGTCTATCAAATTTTCTTCACAATTAAAATATCACTGATTGCACGGATACTCGTAAAAATAAAGTCATGTATAAACTATAAATATCCTATCTTCTTTATGTTATAAATAATTTAACAAGGATCATGAAGCTTACCTCCGAATTCTCTGAGTGTATTTTTAATTTTATACGCATTCTTTCGATCGAATAATAACCGCTTCAGTAACATCTTTAAGCATGTTGCGGCAGCCCTCAGCGTGCCTATTGGGTGCCCGGGTGGGTATATAATGCTACTAAGCCCGTATGACCCCGTAAGAAGCGGAATATTAATTCTCGATTCGACAGTTTTGACCGAAGTGTGATAAAGCCCGTAAAACGAATGTATAGTTGTGTTTGTGCGGCATGCGTGTTCAAAAGTAAATTATCCCATCCGAGTCGCTAATCAAATAATTAGAACAAAATATTTCAAAAAGTAAAGCTATAAAATTTGCAGAGATTTTACTAGAATGTAAAAGACGGTAACTAAATACAGGAATGCGGGTAGTTATGTGTGCGAACGCTCAAACTCAATGCCAATTGTCGTAGGTACCCAGACCACTCGGACCAAAGACTACTCGGACTAAGACCAGTCGGACTAAGACCAGTCGGACCAAAACAAGACCAGTCGGACCAATTAAATTATATTATAAGGCTAGACAATATGCTATTTATTTATTATTAAATCACAATACAAAGAAGCAAATAATTCTTATACGGAATTCTTATATTTAGAGTTGTTTAGTTCAATTTTGTGTACGGAAAATAAATCAATGATTAGTTTTAAAATTAATTAATAATGGTGCCAAAAAAAAATATCAATCTAGTTTTTCTTATTTACTCCTGCAATGAGACTCGGTATGTCCAGACTTTTGACAGTTTCTGCATATACGGGTATACTGTTCTTGTCTGATAGCCTAATTGTACTTTTTCCACATTCGCGGTATCCCCAGTGGTTTCATTCCGTTCTACCCAACTAACCCCTGGGTTACTATATATGGGGGGGGGGGGTGAGACACGTTTTCAAGTTATCCGCCCTTGATGCGTTAATATAAACAGCACATAATAATACGAAGACCGGACGTTTATATGTCCCTTTTTAAACGTGACTACAAGTGTGGTTCTCGATATTTTGCGATTTGGGATACAATTATCAATTTATTCAAACAACACATTATTATTAGTTCGAGTAGTCATATTAAAACACACACAATTATCAATTTACTCCAATAACACTTTATTATTGGTTCGAGTAGTCATATACAATTATCAATTTATTCAAACAACACATTATTATTAGTTTGAGTAGTCATATTAAAACACACACAATTATCAATTTATTCCAATAACACTTTATTATTGGTTCGAGTAGTCATATTAAAATGAACACAATTATCAATTTATTAAAATAACACTTTATTATTGGTTCGAGTAATCATATTAAAACAAACACAATTATCAATTTATTAAAACAACACTTTATTATTGGTCCGAGTCGTCTTTCTGTTGGGTCCGAATAGTCTTTTTGTATGGTCCGAGTAGTCTATTTGTTTGGGCTGAGTGGTCTATCAGTTGGTCCGACTGGTCTTGAACCGAGTGGTCTTTGGCTGGTCCGAGTGGTCATGGATTCTTGTCGTAATTGTACTTGAATTTCCTATGCTGTCACCCCTAATACGAAATGATATCTTCCGCAGAGCGACGTAACCATCTTCCATATTGGTATTTTTCTTTGGGAAAAGTTTGTGATATTTCAATTTTTCAAGAGAGAACTTGTTTTCATCGTTGTGATAATTAGTTGTGCAATGGATTTTATCGAACGGGAGTTGATTACAAACACACAGGTAAGTTTATAATAACCAAAGTTAAGTAGTTTGTTCATAATTGAAGAAATCCGTTTAAAATTTACCAAGACTCAGACAGTAAGATTGGAATCCTTAACTTTTATAAACTTATTTCCAAGCTGTGTATGGCTCTTGGAAATGAAATCCTACACAACATTAAATTATGCTTAACTCATTGAAGTCATAAGAACTATTATATCTCTAGCACTGTCTCAAATGATGTCCATTTACTTAGTCAAATTGTTAAAGTTTTTGAACAATATATATGGGGAACCATGACACCTAACGATTCTACTAGCATTAATCAGCATATCATTTACACGCGCTAGTTTCAGGTGGGCTGTGGTTACAAATTTGGTCATTGCATATAGGAATTTTGACAAAGACAACTCTGAAATGGCAATGTATGTAGATAGTGTTATCATTACTATAGTATGATACTATAGGCCTTGATTGTGTTGGAATGGCTAGTGACCAAGCCTGGATATAAGGCACCTGTCAATGTCATAGACATTGTCAAACATATCACACGATGTATATATATATATATTACACATGCCAGTCTGCAGAGTATGACCAATTTCGACGAGATCTCATGCGTGCAGTGAAAATCCTTACTAAATTCCGGCGTGCAACCTAACACTTCAACGTGATAAATCCACGAGTGATAAATTATGCTATTTCTGCCTTTAGCCACACATGGCAACTCGATTGGGACAATTTGACTCGCACAGTGAGTCACTTCACTAATTACCGTTATGGTAGTTGTCTCCCTTATTATCAAATGCGGATTGACAATGGATTAGGCCTACATGGAAAAAATGACAAATAGTACTGATTAAAATAAAGTCGCTCTGTGCAAGGTAAAAATGTCGTGCCAAACTGGCGTGCAAATCTAAAGAAAATTTGTGTGTACCAATCTCTGAAAAAAAATTACTTGTGCGTGCACAGGACATACACTGCAGACTGGTACACATATGGTACCGGTATAAATCTTGTACGAGAATTTGTCTGACAGATGCCTTATGTCCAGGCTTGCTAATGATTCTTATTAGTATTATACACCCTCTGCCTCCCATGAATCAATAAGACAAAAATTAGTTAATAATACTCCTCGCAGTGTTTCGTATGCTTCAACATAAACTCACTCAACACTGCTGGACTGACAATTTGAAAAAAAATCTGTTAAAAACTCTAACCTCTATCACTCTGATTTGTTCCTGTAGTGACTGAACACAGTGCTTCACACTAAATTTGAAAAAAATCTGTTAAAAACTGTAGCCTCTGCTAGGTTCACAAGGTTTTCGGCAAAGCGGGCATTACTCCAGAATGGAAAATAACAGAACACCGAATATCTATCTATAGGGTTTGCTTTCTCTTGACCACAAAGTTTCACACCAAATTTTCAAAAGAATCCATTAAAAGCTGTAGCCTCTCTTCTTATCGTGTTCACAAGGTTTTCAGCAATGGGGGTTAAAAAGTACGGAAGAGTGCAAAACGTTAAAAGAATGCTAGGGCTCGTTCTCTCAGGACCTACTTTGAAAAGAAAAGATTAAAAATCTATAGAGTATCTAGAAAAAATGTAATCCCCATTCAGGCAGTGTTGTTTATAGAAAAAGAACATAATTTATGTACATTTTGATCCACCGAAGGATATTGGAAATTTGATTTGAATTCATTTTTCTCACATTAATATGAAATGCACCATATAAACAAAATTTATTACTTTTTTTTTCCAGACAAAAAGATGAAAATCTGAGATAAAAATTGTTAAATATTATGTTTGACATGATATATTTGACTCAAATTATGGCTGAAATAATGTTAAACCAGGAACAAGTTGATCCAGTTTAAAATGATGACAAGCAGAGGCTATAAACGTAATCCGGTTCCCTTGGAACTTCCTGTTAATGTGTAAGTAAAAGTTTACTCTATTATTTTATTAATAGCAAATATCCAACATATATATATAGTAACAGACATCACAATTTGATTAAAACACAGATCCTATTTCATTTCATCAGGATTTTCCAACGTGGGTTCCCCTTGTCAGTGGTGCAGAACGGAGGGCCTGACAAGGACAGCTGTCTAGTCCTTCGGATGAGATGAAAAACCGTAGCCCCGTGTATACATTGGAATGCATGTAAAAGATCCCTTGAATTTTGAAATTCGATATAAGAGTATTTGATAGTGCCGCTGCCCGGGCAAAAGTTCCCTCATAGCACACTGTATGCCGTCTTCATTAGCCCAGTATAGGAGCAGAACAGTAGGACGTTAAACCCCATTTCATTTTGTTCTTTATTGTTCAAAATTTTGTTTTACTTGTCTTTACTACACTAGGATCTGGAAGAGTTGTTATATTACCTGCATTTTGGCTGAAGTGAGGCATAACCCAATGAAACGGTCTGTTACGGCAACGTCTTGGAGTGCCATGCACAGAACTGTGGGTATACCACTAGAAATGGCTGCGCTGATTGATTAATTAATGTCTGACGTCAATAGGGTCGAAAGCCGCTCGTAAGACCCCTGACACGAACTACCAGTACAACTTGTCAGATCTTCATGTAGTGTAGGCCATTGAAAGTATAAAAAAAATTAAACGAAATATAGATCTGTATTTTAAAAAGATTGTAGACATCACTACATACAGTATCCATATTTGGAACACACTAAATAAGGGTGTCTTGAATCTCAGTTGAATGATGACAGTAGATTATTACAACTGGTATACCGGTAAGATTTTTAACAGTTTAAAGCTAAACCAGGGCATTCAATTCAAATATGGGTTGGATGCCCGAATGGTTAGCATGTGTGCGCTGTATCATATGGTCTGTCATTGAGTCAACTGGCGTGGTTTCGATTCCCCAGTTGTATGTGACAAGGAGTAGGGTTTCTTGTCCAACCTTGTGGGTTTTCTCCAGGTTCTCTGGTTTCCTCCCACTGCTAAAAACCCCTACGCGCATGTGTATTATTGAAATGAAATTGAACCATATGTTAGTCCCGAAATGACCTGGTTTGTGTAGAGTGGATGTTGAACCCCCTCACTCTCTCTCTGTCTCTCCCTCTCTCTCAATTCAAATGGTCCAAAACTTCAATCAAGAACTTTTATTTTTGCATTACATTAAAATAAATCCAAAAAGAAAAAGATGATTATTTATCACACTCCTATGTGAAGACAGCATACAAATACATTTATATTACAATATACTTCCATATATAAAAAGTTAAAGATGACTACTCTTAGGTATTAAACACACAAAAATATAAAATTATCCAAATGTTGTTTACCTGAAGACTGCTTAATAAAATAAGCGAAAGTGCTAGTAATCGACAATAATGTAGTTCTTTTTTCAAAAACTTTTATATTTTTGTGTACTTCCATATAAGATCTTGGTGCACTTTTTTTATATATATATATATATATAAACGGTGACATTTAACATAAAATGGAGTATTCTTGTTGAAACATAGCTCAGTGATAAACAGTTATCATCACCTCAATGTTAAAGACTAGAGAAGCCTAGTTGAAATGTCGCTCAGTAATAAACAGTAATTGTATTCCATAGAATTGTGACCTGTATATTCCAGTTCAATTACTAAATGCCACAATTTATGACCTCAGTAATAAACAGTAATTGTATTCCATAGAATTGTGACCAGTGTATTTCCAACTCATTTACTAAATGCCATTGAAACAACAAAAGGTTGCTTTTTTTTTCAGGAAATATTTTCATGGAGTTATCTCCCTTCCATTTATAAATATGGCATAGAATTTATATGATACGCCCGATCACTCCTAGTCTATTGTGTTGAAATGAATGTAGATTTGAGCACAAAATCAGTGCTGGGTCCAAAATGTATCCAATTTGGTGTTCATGTTGAAAAGATATTGCATTATATGTTAATATTTAATTAGAGTATTTTTAAACATTGTCAAGAACAAATTATTACACTCAAGTTATCTGTAACAGACATCGTCGAACGCAAATTATCACATATTATATTATTATAAAAATGTTGTGTGATAGTTTGTGCCTGACAATGTCGTCTGTGACACCTGTGCCTTTTGTGTTGGCTTACAGGTTTGATTACCAGGCTTGTTGCCATTGACATAAACATAATAATAATATGCCATTTTTCAAAATAAAAACAGTCAATGGCAGGTGCAAATTCAGACTTCCAGGCATAATTCCTCTGACACCCGTAATTTTCATATCTGGTACAGATTGGTCATCGTTGTGTTTTTATTGGTCTTTGTAATAAATGTCCAATACATGTTATAAATGTAGGGTACAACTTCAATTGGTCCTGACATTTTGTCTGTAATTAAAATGGTTATTAAAGAAAGGCATTTCTTAATACTTAACAATTCATAGTAAGTGTTGGAGGACATACAAACAATGACACAAGACAAATCTACGGACAGGACACAATATACAGACAATCACGAACAGCAAACACACATGTCACAGTCATTGAGTTTAAGGTGAGCGATCGCTCTCGAGCACCTGCCACGCACCACACATCAGGGGTTTATTATCATTTATGAAACCAGGGCAGGAATGACTCCCTATTCCCTTACATGCAGTTATTGATCTTCAGAACCCTTTCCCATACACACAATCACTCTCCTTAATATCAGATCACTCTCCTTAATTTCTAAATCACACTTCTTATCAAAACTGGGATATCTTTTTTAGTGGAGCGATTTTTTCAATTTTTTGAATAAGGGGAGCTTTTTTCGACTCTCCTCTAAAATACAAACAACAACGACTGACATCAGATCAAGTAAATAGATCCAGGGGTAGTCGTAAGTTTATAGAATTCTGGCCCTTATATTTGACTACTCCACCCCTATCTTACCTTTATACAGGTAAACATGTGTATACATAATGATCAACAATAGAACATTGTTATATTATTAATCGTAACTATTCTAATTTAGAAACACGGTAAGCCGATATATCTGTAATAAAATCATAAGCTTATTGTCAACACAATATGGGGAAAAATGTCCTATTGAATTTTGATCTATTATTTGGGGATTGGGAGTCATCGATGCGCAAAGATCATAATGCTATATCAACTAACGTTACCTGTGTAATATTCTTCACTAAAATAGTCCGGAATGTAAATACACACCCTCATTCATGCACAATCACACAGTACAATATTGTAGATTTTTATAGTTTGATTAAATCTGGAGTTCGTAAAATCTATTCAAGAGTACTTATTACAATGGTTTTACTATTTCCAAATAAACAAATGATTTCTGTTGAAGATCAACCATGTTGTCAGCCATGTAAGAATGATCTATCTACCATTGAAGTTTGACATTTGACATCAAATTTTTTTGTGCGGTTTTATTATTTTTGTTTTATTTCAAGTTATTCTTGTATATTGTGCTGCTCAAGTTCTTGGAGTGTTATGATAATAAAATTTGTTGTGAGCCATGTTGAAATCAAATTTTGTTATTTTATTTCAAGTCATTCTCATATATTGTGCTGTTTGAGTTCTTGGAGTGTTATAATAAACGCTTTTGGTGAGTTATGATAATAAAGTTGGTTGTGAGCCATGTAAGAATTTCTACCTTTGAGCCATGTTGTGAGCCATGTTGAAATCAAATTTTGTTATTTTATTTCAAGTCATTCTCATATATTGTGCTGTTTGAGTTCTTGGAGTGTTATAATAAACGCTTTTGGTGAGTTATGATAATAAAGTTGGTTGTGAGCCATGTAAGAATTTCTACCTTTGACAGTTGAAATCAAATTTTGTTATTTTACTTCAATTCATTCTTGTATATTGTGCTGTTAAAGTTCTTGGAGTGTTATGGTAATAAACAAAAGTTTTTGAGAGTTATGATAATAAAATTTGTAAGAATTATCTACCTTTGACAGTTGACATCAAAATTTTTTTGTATGTATTTTTATTCAAGTTATCCTCGTATATTGTGCTGTTCTTGGAGTGTTATGATAATACAACTAAGAGTGTTTGAAGTGTTTCCATAATAAACAAATTATTTGTTTTTTATTTATGTGAATAGTTCATTGAGTTCAACAGAAAAAAGTTCAACAGAATTGATTTTAATTTTATCTAGAATTATCTCTTAGGAATGAATGATAATATGACTTTAATCTTTAATTTTTCTTCTTTTTTTTAAGTGGTATTAAAATTATACAACCAAATAATTTGCTGTAATATAATCTGCTATATTATTAGAGTGCAATTTTAAAAAGCAGAGATTAATATAAGTGATTTACAAATAGTTTTGGACTTTATTTCGTTTGTCATACTTGATCTAAAATGAAACTGAAAAGGTGTTTAAGACATAGATGAAAGAAGAAGTCTTCTTCATTGAAGAAAATAATATTGTAGGCAATGGCTTGGTTAGTTGAAGCAACTTTTTCATTCATTTATTTCGTTATTTTTTTTTTTTAAGACTGAGTCAGTGTCAACAAAACCTATATAAATCCTATTAAAGATACATTATGGATGATTAGATAAAGAGCTGACAGTTGTCACTATAATAGTTAAAAACTAGATAATGTAAAGGGAATATGCTGAAAATTTCAATCAAATTGTTTGACTCTTAAGCCGATCTGTGATTCTCCGATACGGATGGATAACATTTCAGGCCTAAAGAAAGACCTGCAAATGCAATAGGCAGATTTAGCTCTTGCATAATGTATGTTTAATATGATATGACACATAGAATATAATATCAGGTTAATTTATAAATTATTTATTAGGGCAGCTTTTGACTTTTCTTCAAGTTTGTCATCGAGTCTAGTGGTGTTATATCAATTGCCCACATGTACGAGAAAAGGAGTAGGATCATCTGTCCAACCTTGTGTGTTTTCTCCAGGTCCTCCGGTTTCCTCCCTCCTATGACTAAGCGAATTATTGAAATAAAA